TTTTTAGCTTCGTGCGATATAATAGTATCCGCGATATTGCGTAGAAGTTAACGAGAGATTGCCACAAGGTGACCGACGCGAGAGTAATGTAATTAATTAATTTACTCGAAAAGTCAATTTAATCGGATAGCTTTTATGATTCTTAAAAAAAGGATTTAATTCTCCGAGAAGCGACGTGTCAGATATTGGAGAGAGAGAAAATGAGAAGAGAACCAGAGAGGAAACGGAAAAAGGAACTCGCGCGCGTCGGAGAGTAAATTTTCATGCGGCTTTAAAAACGGAAAGCGTAGAACCTCGGAGATTCGGGTATACGTCGAGAGCGCCAAGAGTGGTAGCCTTCACCGGGGAGAGAACCTCCGGTCTCTCGGTATAGGGGCCCCCGTACACGAGGGAGTCGGCCTAACGCCACTAGGTTCGAAACTCGCCACTGACTGGCTGGCTGTATACGGCGCGCAGCGTAAGAGCGCCCGAGAGAGGAGGTCTCGACTCTCGCTCGCTTACTCGCTCGCTCGCTCGCTCGCGCAGCCGAGCCAGCCAGCCAGCCAGCCAGCCAAGCCAGCCAGCCAGCAAGCAGCGACGGCGCGGCGCGGCGACGGGTGGCCGGGGACGGGGAAAGAGTAGACAACGCGCGAGCCACGTTCTATACGGCGTGCAGCCTAAGAAAATTCACCGGGAACATTTTTATTCCCTATCGGGTAAAAGGGGCGCGTCATCGGGACGCCGCGACGGCGAAAGGACGCCGGGGGACGTGCGCCGTCGTTCTACGATCGGCTGACCTCCCCGCGTCGGCCAATTCCGCGAATTTTGCGCGTCATTCCGTATGCGGCCGCGAGGCAGAGCGCGCGGACTTCGAGGTCTCCGGCGGAGAGACCGAGAGCGCGAGCGGTTGCTACACGTACGCCGACGAAGCGGCTCCGAGCCGACGCGTAACGCCGAGCTCGGTTTCTCTTCGGAGGTGACGGCGACGGCGGCGACGACGACGATGACGACGACGACGATGACGACGACGACGACGACGACGACGACGACGACGACGACGACGACGACGACGACGACGACGACAACGACGGTGGAAATGGCGGGGCGTCGGAGGGACGCCGCGCGCTGTATATTTCCAGCGTAGCTCTCGCGTTATCATACTGGCGCGCGCTTCTTTAACTTATTAAATCACATGGAAAAAATCTCATAAATGTATATATGATATTCTTTGCTTTTCTTTTTCCTTTTATACCTTAAGAAATTTTATATCGTACAATTTTAAGAAATTTTATCTCGCTCGATGCAACAATCTACCGAACGTCATCATAACATTTTATAGAGCTTTCCGAAGCTCGATAAAATCGATAGCGTTGCCGAATTGATGCGAGCTCTGCTCGCAGAGAATTTTGAAATCGCAAGATAAGAATTAATTTAGGACATTCCTCGTTCTAAATTATTTCCTCCTTACAACTCGAACAAAGTTGCTCGATCGTCCATCGCGTGCTATATGGACAACATGGATCAATGAAAATGATATTAAATAAAATCTCTTTATTACAAGAATATAAGTGTACATGTGATCGAGATGAAACGCCGCTTCGAACGTCTTGACGAAACGTGCGCGCTGGGATTCCCTGATGATGATTCCGACGCGACGTGTCCGGTTGTTGTTAATCGCGGCTGACGCCACGAAGCGAGAGAGCGGCTAAGTCGTACGGATGGCGTGGAGGCGACTTTTAACTGGTCGGCGCGAGAATGCGCGGATATTGCCAAGCACGGAAACAGCCGTCGTCGCCGCCGCTGCCATCGCCGTCGAATCCGCAGCACATACGCGCGTATAT